TCCCCTGTATCTTGTCACGCCCACCCACACGTGGTCATGACAACCCATACCTCATCACGCCTACCAATACCTCGTCACACTCACTCACACCTTGTCACACTCCCCTGTATCTTGTCACGCCCACCCACACGTGGTCATGACAACCCATACCTCATCACGCCTACCAATACCTCGTCACACTCACTCACACCTTGTCACACTCCCCTGTATCTTGTCACGCCCACCCACACGTGGTCATGACAACCCATACCTCATCACGCCTACCAATACCTTGTCACACTCACCCGTACCTTGTCACACCCACCCGTATCTTGTCACGCCCACCCACACGTGGTCATGACAACCCATACCTCATCACACCTACCAATACCTCGTCACACTCACTCACACCTTGTCACACTCACCTGTATCTTGTCACCTATCCTGATGTAGGCGCGTAGTTGTCCGTCCTCCAGCGCGATGGTGATGGCGTCGCGACGCGTGCTCGATGTCGTCGTCAGCAGTGCGGTGTCGGCCGATGACGTGAGGAAGTCAAACTTTATCTCCTCGTAGTCCTGCGATGACGGATCCACCTCCACGTAGAACGTTCCGTCAAAGTGTTGCACGCTCGGCACCGCTGTAACAATAATAGCAGTGACAATTATAATGATGCTAATGTATAATACTACTACTAATAATAGTAGTATTATTATTAATATGATAAAAATAATAATAATTAATAAAAAATATTGATAATGAAAATAATTATAACTTTAATAACAATATCTCCTCATAATCCCTGTCAAAGTTGACAAATCCACCATGACATGGAATAGGTCGATGGTCGAAATTGACACACCAGAACAAGCAGATCTTCTGCCAGAAAAGTGAAAATAACCATAACTCAAGTTTGAAAAATAAAACGGGTTTGTACCAACGATTTTTTTGCGTTTATGCTATCTGACTTTGCTAAAGGCATCGCCAGTGCGACACAGCGCTTACACCTGCAGCTCTAAACAGCTGTCATTCCTTTTGCTAATCAATTTACCCGGAAATGCTAAAACGTCTACGGAAAAGTGGTTTTTGGTTGTCACCCTCTGAAGAAAGAAGTAGCTGTTTTTTCTTCAAATTGCGGCAGCCGTATTTAACTGCAGAAATGCATGTGAGAAGACGGCAGGCATTCCTGTTTTTGTGCACCGTAATTACCCATGCAGCAATTTACTCACGTATCGTCTCGGGGTAGTTTATGATGACGTCCGGATCTTCTATTCCTAGCAGGAAGAAGAAGAGAGCTTTGCCGTTGACGACAGGTCCCTTTAGTGTTCCATTGAACAGCGTTCCTCTGTCTGTAGAACAAAAGTAGAAGGTATTACAGTTCATGAACAACATTATGCTGTGCAGGCGGTTATCATCACCAATTCAACGATTCATCTGAGTGATATAACCACTCCTCATATCAAATTATTTCTAGGATTGTCAAGCTACACCGATTCGTAAATGATTTTAAATTAACACAGGTATTCCATCATGTGGTTGTTGTGGCACTTTTGTATCGAGAATTGTCTTACATAACAATTAGTCCTATCGCAATGCTGAATGGCTAGGCAGATTAATTGATTGTCAATAATGTCAGGTGGATAATCTATCAACAATCTAGACAACAGAAAAGAGTGGAGAGGTCTTGGGCATACAACTTGTGAATGCTTCAACATAAAGAGAATCAAACAGTATGAAAAAAAAGTGAATGAAGACTAAAGAATTTGAACAAAAGATGATCTATGAACTTTATAGCGATAGATATTTGTACTACATTATTATTCTGTGTAATGCCCGTTTCGGGCTCTCACTAGGCGTATATATATATATAATCTAGTTATGCAGTGCAATATTTGTATATATATTATATACAATACATACTATATACATGTTTAAATATAAACAATATGAAACAATATTCTATACTATTAAAACATTATAACCAATGCATCGAAATGTAAGCTAAGCGAATAATTTGTTAACGTATTAGTTCTGAAATACATACCAAGTACGCCACCGTGGTCCGTGCCCACACCGAGATTGATATTGTGGATTTCCCACTTGTTGGCTCCACCGGGAACATCCACTGAAACAGACACACAGAGATAAGATCATTTATGTATATATATATATATATATATATATACTGGCAATGTGTGGACCATGAACACAAGTTTGCTGCACAAGTAATGCATATTAATGTATAATGTATAGTATCTACGTTAATGTATAATGTGTATTATCATATAGAATTCACGTTCATGTACGCGCACTGTCACTACACTGGGGGTTGTGTCATCATCAAGAGATATGTTCACTGCATTGAAGAGGGGGGCATGTCATCATCGAGGGATATACTCACTGCGTTGTGGGGGTACCATGTCATCAAGTGTGATGAACACGTGTTTGCCCACGTGATGCACGAACACTCGGTGATCCATCAGATCATTAAGGTTGGCTCCCAGTGGTGTGCTCTCCTGTAGTAGCCACACACACACCCACACACACACAATGAGTATGCTATATATATATATACAATGTACAACTGCACAAAGTATAAATCATATTCATATTCATTCTATATATATATAATGAATATGAATATTATTTATACTTAGTGCACTTACTGAAAACTGAGGCAAGGCATGCACCTCTTCCTCCCTTTATGTTTAGATAAACCTCTTCACCACTATCCTCTCTACACACACACCGCCCCCTCCACCTCCCACACACCCCTTCTCCTCTATTCTCACTTACACATACTCCACTCCCCTTCCTCCCTCCTTCCACTCCTTACTTCTCTTCTCCTCCTTCTCTCCCTCCCCCAAAGCACGCCCCAATTGTTAACACCCACCAGGATTTCTCCGTTCAGCATCATCGTCCACACCAGCTTCCCGTTGACTAGGTTCAGGGAACCGCGCATCGTTCCGTCGCGCGACGACACGCTCGCGAGGCCCGTGTTTGCCTCGCCCGTGTTGAAGATCAGCCACAGGTAGTTGTCGTGCTCCAGCTGCGACTTCTTCAGCGTCGCGAGTAGGTAGTAGTCCTTGTTGAAGCTCGTAGCACCGTCCCTACCTGTAATAGGGTTTCATGCAGCTACAGAAAAACATTTTCTGGGTTTTTTTTTTAGAATATTTATTTTTCAAGACCATTAGATAACCTTTTTCCGGGACTCTCCAGGCCTGTAAAAATGTTATCCTAATATTGCAAGACTTTCCAGGTTTTCTAGCACCTAAACAAACCTTGAGTAAGCGACGTTCAAGTTTCGCTCTAAAATCACGGTTATCGGTTATCAGTCTAGGAAGTGCACATTGCCAAGGTGACGATATCGAAAAGAAGGATTGTTACTGTATTCTGACAAATAATGTGACTATTGTAGATAATTCCACGGAACATCTCCACGCACACACGCACACACACACGCGCACGCGCGCACACACACGCGCACACGCACACACACACGCGCACGCGCGCACACACACGCGCACGTGCGCACACACACGCACACGCACGCACGCAATCACACACATACGAACACACGCATGCACACACATACACACACACGCACGCACGCACGCACGCACACACTGCTTGTCTAGGCGGCCGTACCGGTGGAGTGCGGATAGGAGATGTAGCGAATCTTGCGTCCGTACTCGCCCGTCTGGTACATGTTGATGAAGTTGAGGTCGTCCAGCACGACGTCCCTAATGTCGCCGCTGAAGACACCGTAACGATCATAGACGTCGGTCTTGTGCTGCAGACCACCGATGTTCAGCTGATCGATCCTCAGCCTTCCCAGATCCTTGATCTTAACTGCAGCACGGCGAGAGAGGTGTCGGTGAGAGAGCTCAGAGATATGTGCACATTTGATTGGTATCTTGAGTATAGTGTATAGTAGTATATGGTGAGATAGTAGGACAAATAAAAGGTGGGAAATAGTGATGATCTCTGCTATGTAGCTTGCTGCTCGGTGACTTACACTACTATCTAGCTTGCTGCTCGGTGACTTACACTACTATCTAGCTTGCTGCTCGGTGACTTACACTACTATCTAGCTTGCTGCTCGGTGACTTACACTACTATCTAGCTTGCTGCTCGGTGACTTACACTACTATCTAGT